ATCTTTAAGATGCACAGTATATTGGTTCCACACTGCAGACTGCTTTTTTTAAATGTGAAATTCCTCTCCACCTGTGTGACAGCATTAATACATCAGTTTACAGCTCAGTATCTGACAGCTGTCATTATGGAAAATTGAAAGGCAGAGATATTCCTAGGTGTGAGTTTCTAGAAATAATGACTTTTTTGGAGTTTGCATGGATTTTGTTTGGTGTGAATTTGATGAACTGCTTACACAATTCTGACATATTTAGCAGATTCCTTCTAAAAGAATGGCATTATTCCCTTCGGATGAATGATCTCTAGATTGAAGCTCTGTCGTTATCAAAAGTCAATGTTGATGCAGTACAGTAAGGCCTGACTAACTGACTATGGCATTAGCTATGCTGCATTCGTTTCACCAAAGTGATTGTATATTTTGAAAAATGTTTCATGGAAAAGAAATGTATTAAAGCTGTCGCCCTGCAGTTTGACTGTGTTAGATATGTATAATTAAGCTGCTCTGTTACAACAGTGGTAAATGTAATCCAAAGTAGTGTCAGCCATATTTGTGTTGCTGTATTTCTCCTGTGCATGTTAGACTCATGCAGTTTGCTTGCTACTTTTTGCAATGAGAATCAGAGCAGCAAAAGTACTTTAAGTCAAATAATTTAAAGTACGAATATCTAGCAAGAAGCTAACATACTTTTTCCACTCTGAATAGTATTTCATTGTTAATTAGATAATGTGTTAATTATGGGCAAAACAATGAAACAAGCATTCATATTTAATATTTTGCCACTATTAACCTCAGTTTACAAAAGTGTGCATCAGTCATTTTGCTGACACCTTGAAAAATATTGTTTATAAAGTTCCTGGTATTTATAACTTTTGCTGGGCATTTACAGAAGTGTGCAACTTGAAAGTATCTTTCTTTTTACATGTGTGTGTTTTTTTTTTCAATGGACTCATCTTTTAGATCAATTTAGCACCTTTTGTTTCCCAGATTCCACATCAAGTATTCCCTGGTCAGCTTCCATAAGGCTGGCTGAAGACTGAAATTCTCTTTTGTCAACACCAAAGTTATGCTTGCCTGAGATTAGCCATTGAGAGTCATAGACTTATACAGCATGAAAATAGACCCTTCGGTCCAACTCGTCCATGCTGACCAGTTATCCCAATCTGGCCTAGTCCCATTTACTAGCATTAACCCTTTCTATTCATATACCCATCCAAATGCCTTTTAAATGTTGTAGTTGTACCAGCCTCCATCACTTCCTCTGGCAGCTCATTCCATACACGCACCACCCTCTGGTCCTTTTCAATCTTTCCCCTCTCACCTTAAACATATGCCCTTTAGTCTGTGATCAAAAACAAATTCCCATAGTTCAAAGGAAACATGTTTACTAATGCTGCATCCGCACTCCAGAATTACAAAGAATGTTTCAAATCCCAATGGGCACTGTAAGACATGTGACTGGAAGGTGTTGGGATTGGAGCTTAATTTCAGGCCCTGGCATGAAACTTAGTAATCTACTGCAGGCATAATGTGCAGAAATAACTTAAAGGAAACCAGGCCTGATACGTCCCAGCTTGTCATTATGTCCTGCTCACATTTTGATGTCCAGAAATATTAATGAGCCTTGCAGAAACAGCAGTCAAAATCAGATTTGGCAGAAGCATAAATGACACACAAGCAGAAACCAGACAAGCATATATCAATATCCTGTAGAATTGCATACAGAAAATCGGAGAGTAAGTTCATTTTCTTCCATTTCTCATATTGCTTGGTGTGCTTATTACTTTATTCTGCTGTCCCCACAGACAAGAATATGATCTAGGCTAACATTTAATTGTAAAGCCTAGAGAGACTGTTCTGTTAAAGGTGCATTTTTAGGATAAGATGAACTGCCCTCAGAGGAACCTAAAAGAATTCAAGGCACAATCCTCCCAGTGTCCTCACCAATATTTAGCCCTTGACTGATATCATTAAAACAAACTCAACATTATCAGTGACAACAAGGTGCAGGGCTGGATGAACACAGCAGGCCAAGCAGCATCATAGAAGCAGAGAGGCTCTGCTCCTATGATGTTGCTTGGCCTGCTGTGTTCA